CTGTCCAGCTATGCAAGAAGAAGGACCGGAGACCCTGGACGTGGTTAGTCTTCAGTTTTATTCCTAAATGTCTGAGTGTACCCGGCAGATAAAATTGTACAGTGCCGGTAATTCCATAATCATTTACATATACCTGAGGGGCTGCTAGCAGTCCTTTCCCTTGCCTATCCTGCTTTCCAGGCAAGCTGTTGTTGTGACCTTGCCACCACCACCTCGTCAAATGAGGGTTAAGAGGACTATAAAGAAGAGGTGACTGATTCCCTGCCAGTCATAGGAGTCCCGTACTTCCCCCATTTCTGCTCCTTTAAAGAATACCTCCTTTAAATCCTATCCCAGTCCATTTTATCTGATCATTGTATCCATTTCCTATGGAGTACCTGCTCTGGACATCTGCCCCAAGCTTACAGAATGAGTTGCGACACCACAGTTTAACCTCCATTTTGTGGTTGTTTTGCCCCCAGTAAGCTCCCAGCCCACTTTGGGGGTGGCGAAAAACCCCACCTTGCCTTGGCCAATCTGGCGATGAGGGACAAATTCCCTCCCAGCTGCCCGAGAAAGGAGCAACTAGCATAATTCTCACAGCAGATCATGATGAAACCTGTTAATTTAGCTATTTTTGTGGGTGGGAGGGCAGCAGGAGAGCCGCCAGCTTTTTTGCCATCCTAGGCGGCGGAAGTTCTTGCCCCTGAAATGCCGCCCCCGACAGAGGCGGCGGAAGGTCCCGCCCCCAAAATACCGCCAATGACTGGGGCGGCTGAAGATCCGGCCGCCGCGGTTACCGCCCCCCACAGGTTAGCGCCCTAGGCGACCTCCTAGGTCGCCTAATGGGTTGCGCCGGTCCTGGAGGGCAGGTGCAGCTCAGCCTAGTCCAGGTGAAAAAGAGGCTTTTAGTCCACAGGCATGAGCACCTGGGGGCAATGGATTAGTGTCCTTAAGCTGACTTGGTGTGAATCTGCCCCCATGTAGCAGGTAACTCTTTGGCTCTCTAGCCCTTGAGAGGGCAACAAGCTTCTCCGACAAGCCAGATAAAAGGGCCCCATCGCTTAATGTGCGGTGAGGTCATTGTGCTGCTTTTCTGCTAGTCACATATGTGTCTGCTATGCTTATCTAGTAATATAAGGTCACAAAACCTGCAGCTTTTTTTGAAAGTAAATTTTAGGCTTACATTTTCAAAAGTGCCTACTAATGTTGGGTGCATCCATTTCTGAGTGACCAACTTGAGACACCGAAGGCCTGATTAAAGAGGTGTTGAGCACACACAACTCCAACTGAAGTCAAAAGATTTAGGGATTAAGCCAGAGGTGGGCAAACTACGGCCCACAGGCCACATCCGGCCCACGGGACCATCCTGCCGGGCCCCTGAGCTCTCGGCCGGGGAGGCTCGCCCTGGGCCCCTCCCCCACTGTCCCCCCCTCTCCCGCAGAGCCACGCCGCCGTGTGGGCAGCGCTCTGAGCGGTGGAGCTGCGCGCTCCTGCTGAGCAGAGCGGTAGCGTGTCTGGCTTCAGCTGGCGCGGCAGCCAGACATGCTGCTCTGCATGCTCTGCTTGGCACGGTAAGTGAGCCGGGGCCAGGGCCAGGGGGTTGTATAAGGGGCGGGGGACCCCAGGGGGCGGTCAGGGAGCAGGGGGCAGTTGGATGGGGTGGAGGTTCTGGGGGGGGCAGTCAGGGGACGGGGAACGGGGGGGTTGGATAGGCGTGGGATCCCAGGGGGGGCCTGTCAGGGGGCAGGGGTGTGGATGGGGCCGGGGCAGTCAGGGGACTGGGAGTAGGGGGGGTGGATAGGGGGTGAGGTCCCAGGGGGCGGGAAGTGGGAGGGGGCGGATAGGGGGCAGGGGCCAGGCTGTTTGGGGAGGCACAGCCTTCCCTACCCGGCCCTCCATCTAGTTTTGCATCCCCCATGTGGCGCTCAGGCCAAAAAGTTTGCCCACCCCTGGATTAAGCACTTGAAAATCAGGCATAGCTGTCTCCAGTTGGGCACTGAAAAGCTGAAGCATCAAAACATGAGTGAGCAACTTCTACAAGTTTAAAGTCCAGGGCTTTATTCCAGCAAATCATTTATGTGAACATGTGCTTAGCTTGTGGACTTCACTAGGACTAGCTACATGCTTAAAGTTAAGCACATGCTTACATGATTGTTGGAGCAAGGTTAGCATGCTCAGCATCTTGCAGGCTTGAGCCATAATAACCCAATTGAGCTCCCATAAAAGTCAGTTGAAAGACTGCCATTGATTTCAGTATGTAAGTCAGGCCCAAAAGACACTGTTTGTGTCAAGTAGAGCTTACTCCTGCAAGCAGTCCTATTGAATGCCTCTCTCTCTGGGGCTGCTCACATGAGTAAGAGCAGCTCAGCATGAGTGAATGTTGTAAGTGAACCCATGAATAAACACTAAACAAGCACCCAAATGATTAGCAGTTGTGAGGAAATTAAGAGGTCTTATACATACATTTGTTAGACTCGTGCGTCCTTAGCCACATTTTTCATGCTTTCTGATATTTGAAACTAATCACCCTTTCTCTCTCTGGAAGGGAAGTGGTGGCCTATGCCACTATTACTCTTTTTCTGTGGGAAGTCAAGTATTGTCTGTCTAGGAAAGTAAAATCTCTTCTTATAGTGTCCATAACTGCCATCAAGCTACTGTCCAAGTAACATGGGTTTTATTTTGAACTGTGACAATCAAATTTCCCTCACTGTCCATAAAGCCTTACTACTGGGGGGATTCTGCGTGACTACGTGCCCACAGAAAACGGCCCCCCTGCAGAATTCCAGTGCTTCCCTGCAGAAAACGGCAGGGAAGCAAAGGGAAACTAGGGGAGGGGCGGGGAAGACCATGGGCACAGTTTTTTTTGGGGGGGGGGGAGACTGCCCCCTCCAAAGAGAGGTGAGGTATGGGGGGAACACAGGGTTATGTGCCATTGCCCCCCACCACCATTTCTGCAAGTGCAGAGCTGCCCAGCTGAAGGAGGCTTCCTCTCTGCTCTGCTGACTCTGAACGCTGCCTCCTGGGTCCTAGTGTCAGTCGGGCTCCCCTTCTGTGTGCTGGGAGCCTTCCTGTTTTCTGTGCCACAGTGAGTGTCCATGGTGGGGCTGAGTAAGGGTGGGTGGAGGAAATGACGGAAGGGGGGGTGGGGGGAAGAGGTAGTGGGAAAGGAAGGGGGTGTGGAATAGGGCAGGGGAGGGGAATGTGGGAGTGAGGAGAGGGGAATGGAGAAGGATAGGGGAATTGGGGGATGAGGGGAGGGGAAGTGGGAGCCTGGCATGCAGCGTCCCTTCGGCAGCAGCTGGGGCTCCCCCATTAAGCAGGCCCTTCGAACCCTCACCCTGACAAGCCCTACCACCCTACACCTGGACCCCTCTGATGACCCCCACACCACCGATCCCCAACCAGCTGCACCTGGACCCCCAATCCATCAAGCCCCACTCCCCCAGCATATGCCCCCCCACACTAAGCCCCCCACACCCAGACCCCCCCCCGCTGAGCCCCAACCTTCTTCACCTGGATCCCTTGCAGAGTCCCATTGCCCCTGCACCCAGAACCCCCCAATGAGTCCCTGTGCATCCAGATCTCTGACTGAGCTTCCCGTGCCCAGATTGCCCCACACAGAAACCTCTCACCCCACACCTGGATCCCCCCACACTAAGTCCCTCCACACTTGTACCCTGCTGGGCTGAGCCTGCCCACCCACACCTGGTTCACCTGGTGCAGAGGGGCAGGGCACCAGGGTGTTTCTGGGGAAGGCCCAGCCCTTTCACTGTGTCAGGGTCAGGTGCAGCCTCACTGCCAAGTCCCTGTACAGGAGGAGGTGGGGGCTTCAGGGTGATCTCCCACCTCAATGCAGTCAGTGGCTTGTGCTCCCCACTATCATGCGGGAGCCACATTTATTTATTGACAAATAAAATTTGCAGAATTTTAAAATATTGTGTTCATAATTTTTAATTTTTTGGCGCAGAACTTCCTCAGGAGTAATAAAGCACTTCCAACTATTATGGGTTATCTATAATAATAGAATGTGCAGAAAATAAGTGTTTATGTGGAAGAATAGTTTCCTTTAGAGGTAGGGTCATATATTTGTACCGCACTGAAACACTGTTATTGCTTGGTGATTGAAAAAACAAATAAGCTTTTATCTCTTTTTGGCTTTGTTTGTGGTTATATTAATACAATCAGATATCACACCTGATATATCAACTCTCCATTTATATAATCAAATATAACTGAAAACCCAAAACACCATTTATAGTTCATCGAAAACCAGAGATATTTTCATTCTGCCCCAGCTTGTGGTCTCTAGAATGTTTTAAAACACTTTGACAACACCATTTGAGCCTTTGAGTAAGTTTTTACAATACAGAATTAGATTATAAACTATAGTAACTGAACCTATTTCCTCCCACCTTATGTACAGTAATCAAAATAAAAACAGTTTATCGGAATAAATGTGTATAAAGCATTGAACTACGAAATCTCTGTTAAATCTTGTAAAAACAATTTTAGCTGGGATTTCTAACCACTGCAAACCTCTCAATATTAGATTAAGATTTGACGAGATTATATAGTGCAGTGAAAGTGTCTCATACACATTTTTAAAAATATTTCCATTCATAGAAAATGCCATAAAGACTACAGATTTTTCTCTCAAAAAATGAGCTTTGTTAATAACTGTAGTTCATACAACGTAAAAGGTCTGTATTTAAGTTGCCTCCATTTTATAAAAATGGTAATAAAACTGCATCTGTACGTTTGCTGCTGTATATTTCTTTTCAAGCGATCAGAGAATGTTTGCAGTTGGTAATAAATATTCAAGCACCTTGCAAATGTCCTACCAATTCCCTTTGCTGATCTGTGTGTGCCTGTGGGACTAGAATAGGAATGCATAATTTAAATATAAATTGCCTGATTTGCATATACAATTAGTCAAGCTGCAGCTTTGATCGTAAGCAAAAATTATTGTCCTGTATTGCCACTTAGATAGAATTTTAATTCACCTTGCATATTCAAAGTAAATTAGGCCCTGGCTGTATAGTTGAAGGGTATGATTTTCCCCTTTCCTGATGCCCTCCCCACAAACAACATTTATGGTATGGTAATATAAAGGCATATTTTTAGCCTCATAAAATAAAGGCATAAGTTTTATCTCTAATTTTATTTCTTTCCTCTCCAAAACTTCAGTTTAAACATATCTCTTTGGAGCAGAGACTGTTTATTCATACATGTATGTACAGAGCCTACTTCAATAGGCACTAGCGTAACAGAAGTAGTTATCATTTTGAACAGGTTCAAATAAAGTCAATATGTGTCATTTGGATTGTGCATTCGTACTTTAAAATTAGGATTATTCATGATAATACAATAATTTGAAAAATTTGCTTCTTTAAATGATGCTACTATAACAAAGCAAATGACATCAAGTGTTGGGATTACCAGCTGCAAATGTAAAGCTCTAAACTGGGGAAAGTTGTGGATTTCCCACACTTGTATATACACACACATGTATGTGAAATACTGAACAAAACCCAAAGTAACCGTAGCACATTTGTAACTCTTACATTTTTAATCTACAGTCAAACATTTTTATTAGGAATCTATGTTTTTAATTAGACAGAACATTTAATTAAGGTGCTTTTTAAGTGGGTGAAACAATTAAGTGCAAACACTTGAGTGAAACATGTCATAATTAGTTTTAATAGAGTGTTAATTGGTACTAGGTTTGCCAAGTTAATAATTACTGCTTATTAAATTTTCAATTAATCATTGTCATTTTGCTTTGAATAAAGATGAAAATTAGATAAACTAATTCAGGGGGAGGATGGTTTCCTTGTTAATTAGAGCAGTTAATTTTTTAAAAAAGAAATTACTTGTTTTACTTGTCAGTTGAAAGCTTGTACATTAGTAAAATCTTTGCATTCTTCTTGCATCAAAAACTGAATAACCAATTCATGACAACTCATGTTTTACAGGGTAGCCTAGTAGAATGTATTACACTAATTCATACTGGATAATTTAATTGCAATGATTTATATCTGTCTAAGACAACACTAAGGCTCTGATTTTAACAAATCAGTTATGCACATGTCTGTGTGTGTGCCTACTTCCCATTGACTTCAATGTGCTGAAGTGACTTGCTGAATCAGGGCCTAATTCTTCAAAATATAAATGTTGGTTTGGAACAGAGATCAATTGGTAAGAACTAAAACAAAAAAGCAATGTGTTTAGACACAAAACTGGAAACATTGAAACTTACCTTTTGCATTAGAAAACTACATATTCAGGAAATGACTTCAGAAGCACTAAAGTTAGATTATCTGTTTATCAATGACTTTGTTTTAAGAGGTGTATTAACTCTGAGCACCTTTTCATTATACTCTACATTGGGTTTTTATATACCAGAGAACCCATCAATGCCTTTAAGGGTGTGTATACCAGTGTCCTGCCCTGGTTTACAAAAGATTAAAACCAGAATGTTACTTATTATTATTTATTTATTATTTGTATTATTCTAGTGCCTAGAGCTAAAAATGTTCACAGTGTCATTTCTCAATTAGTTACTTTCATAGAATTCTTTCATAAATCTAGTCCTCTGCAGAACAAATTTGTCAAGCAAAATATTCAAAAAGATACAAAAGGATAAACTGAAGATCAGAAACAGCTACACTTTTATACTGCCCAGCATTTACTATCTGAGCACTTTATGTGCTCCTCAGATGATGGGGAAGTAGAAGGAGGGAATAGCTCAGTGGTCATAGGGACTCAATTTCATCCTTATCCTACTTCAGGAAGTGATGAGGCATACTATTAGCAGGGTATATGCTTCCTTTGTGCATTGTTCCCTCTAATCAAACAGTCCTGTACCAAACCTATTGTGCTGATGAAGACTTCTTGCCTTGTTTGTAGAGGAAGCAGTCAATGAAGTAAAACGTCAGGCGATGACAGAGTTGCAAAAGGCAGTGTCAGAGGCAGAACGGAAAGCCCACGACATGATCACTACAGAGAGAGCTAAAATGGAGCGCACTGTTGCAGAAGCCAAGCGACAGGCTGCAGAGGATGCATTAGCTGTTATCAATCAACAGGAAGATTCAAGTGAGGTAAGGAGTTCAGTAGGAGGGGAGTCATCTCAAAGTTTACTCAGAAGTATACCAAAGCGGAGCTTTGTTGTCAGAGTTTGAATCCACCCAGCCTCCTGCAATAAAGAATTAATACTCAATTTTTTTTCCATTTTTTGTTTGCTTGTTTATCTTTGTCTAAGACCATAAGAATGACCATACTGGGTCAGACCAAAGGTCCATCTAGCCCAGTATCCTGTCTTCCGACAGTGGCCAGCAATTGGTTCAGAAGAAAAGTCTGAAATGGCTTTAAATTGATTGGGAGCAGGGGAATGAGGCAATAAGAATAATGAAGTGATGGGAATATAGTCTGTATATTTTCCATTTACTTTAGATGTAAAATTAAAATACTTTAAAATAACACAATCTACTTAAAATTGGTGGTTGAAACAGGGCCGGCTCCAGGGTTTTGGCCGCCCCAAGCAGCCAAACAAAAACAAACAAACAAAAAAAAAAGCTGCATCGCGGTCTGCGGCGGCAATTTGGCGGGAGGTCCTTCGCTCCGAGCCCGAGTGAGGGACCGTCCGCCGAATTGCCACCAAATAGCTAGACATGCCGCCCCTCTCCGGAGTGGCCGCCCCAGGCACCTGCTTGACAAGCTGGTGCCTGGAGCCGGCCCTGGGTTGAAATAACATTCAATGAACAATGATAAATAATGAAATTCTAATGTCCCCAAAATAAGTGACATTTATTTAGGCTTATAGCAAGGTAGCTAAAATTTTGTTTATTTTTTTTTTTTGCAAAGGGAGGGAGTTTGTGTAGACATGATCAGCACAAAACTAGATTCCTGGAAGAAAAAAATGTGTGTGCGGAGTTGCAAGAATGTTTCCTTAATTAGAATTTATTATTTCAGCTACAGAGATTATGTGTGAGCTGAAGGGCGGGACAAACAGCATCTGGCAAGAGAAAAATAGAATGAAAGAGCGACAAAGAGTAAAATAGGAATGAGCATGGTAAACCTCAATTCAGACTTGAACATGATAGTGGAAGCTTTGAATTCTTGTGGTATGGGACATATGGCAGCATATATAGCAGGAAGTCAGGAGTGAAAGAACAACAGACTTATTGCCAGTGCTGAAGTGTTTTGGATACAATGCAGGGCCGGCTCCAGCATTTCTGCCGCCCCAAGCAAAAAAAAAAAAAAGCCGCGATCGGCGGGGCAGTACAGCGGCAGGTCCTTTGCTCCTAGAGGGAGTGAGGGACCTGCCGCCCCCGAATTGCCTCAGGTGCCGCCCCTCTCCCTTGGCCGCCCCAAGCACCTGCTTGTTCAGCTGGTGCCTGGAGCCGGCCCTGATACAATGAAATCTTATGTCATTTAGAGAAGAAAGAAACATTAACATCCGTGTGGAAAGGAAACTCATGATTAAAAATGCCCTTATAAACTGTTGCTAAATTTATGATAGCCACTTTAACAGCTATTTCAAAATAAAATATGGTAACCAGAGAACATTGCTCTCATAAACTATTGGGAGGTGTTAAAAAAATGTAGAAAAGCATGTTTTTATGCAAATTCCATATCAGAGGGAATTGGCAAACTAATAGGTGTGTTGTATCGCATTATATATTTATGTACATTATTGCAAAAGCATTTTAATTACTGCATTTGCTAGTAATGTAGAAGAATGACTTAGGTTGAAGAGATTCAGATGAGGAAGTTGCACCATGCTGTAAGAACTGGCAAAAATCACAAGCTGATAAATCAGTGGCATGCTGCAATACATAGCCATAATTTGAGAGAGCATAAGAATTTAATTCATACCAGACTTCTCTGGAGATGAAAGACCATTGTGGGAACATTGGATGCCCAGAGTTTTTCCATAATGCGTAACAGATGAATAACAAGAAGACAAAAGGAATTAATTTTCAGCATCTGAAAGTTTCTCAGGAAAAAGAGAGACTGAGGGAAGTGTAGGCACCCTTTAAGTACCAACTATTCCATTGCAGAATTAAATGAGACATAAATTCAAATTATTGGCATTTTCTAGCTAAGATATTCAAGGGCATTTCCCCCCTCATATATTCGCATAAAGGGTATTTGTCTGACATATTGTCTGACAGCTATGATCATTAAACTGCTATCATTTTCATGTGTAAATACAAATGATTCCTATTATGAAAGCTGAAATTCCAAAGGTAAATGCCTCAGAGGAAATTGTAAAATTAATCTATTTAGTGAGTAAATATACAGTAGCCGGGATCAATGCAACACCTGTTATCTGCCAATACACACAGACCATTCTCCCCCAAATAAGAGTGCACCCAAAGGAATGCACACTGGGCATTTTTATGCAAGTTCTCCTGGATTCCTGAATGGTAGCACTTCTGGCAGTGGCAACATAGGAACAACCATCTCTATCTAACACTATAGTTTCATTTCCAGAGGTATTGTTTACTGGTATGTTAATTGCCTGGAAATACAAATTAAAAAGTTTTCCTTTAGCCTGGTTCCAAAGGGATGTGGATAAAAAGGATATCCATTCTACCCCAGAGCCTGTGAATAAACATTATTTGCAGGCCTCTAAATTCATCTCATCTCCAGTCAACTGGCAAGCATCCTGGCAAGATCAGACCAGACTTTAAAAATCTATTTGAAAAACAAATCTAGTGACCTGGTCCTGCAGTCTTCACTCAGGCAATGCATTGTAAGTAACAGTCCCTTTTTGGAGACAGGGTGGCTAAGTGGATGAAATTTGTGTGTGCCAGATTAGAGATCGAGGCCAAATCCTAACCCTACTGCAATGGTGTATGGGAACCATACCTATCTTATAGTTTATGTAGTCTAGCACTGTCCATTATAAGCCTCTATTTTCAGTTGCTTGTAATTTTACCAAACTATAGCCACTTGGGGTAAAATTTACTCTCTGTTGGAGTGACTTTTTTTAAGGTTCTGTAAAAATGGTTCAGCCATTTCCAAGAATGAGGTTAGTGGAAAATAGGTAGTTTTGCCCATGTTGACGCATGTTTACAACGTTTTCCTTTTTGAAAAAGATTTAGGCCCTTTAGGGTTCAAAGGAAAAACTTGAAATTTGTTATGGGGTCAGAGACGACTCTTTTGATCTCGCTGTGAGAAGCCATCCTGTTTTGTACCAGATGTAAAGATATAAACCTCAGTACATTTCTATGTTCAATAGACCTTGTTAGAGACATGTTGCTAAAATCTCTAAAATTAAATGTGTACTGTACATGCTTCAGCCAGACACAACTCCTTGTGTGCTAAGTGCACTGAGCATGCTCCTAGGCACAGATCTCTAGACAGCAGGTTGTTGTTTCTCCCACCCTGTAGGCATACAGGAAGGCAAGGTGAACACCATGAAGGGACTAAATTTTAATCACAGCTCTTTCTACTAACTGGTGGTGAACTGGTGTTAATTCTGTGTACTTCACAGCCCTTATAATTAGAGCCCTGTGTGGATACAAAATTTGCATCCACATCCGATCCGCAATCCACAAAAATGATCCGTGGATATCCGCAACCCGCAGATGTTGATATCCACGGATATAAAGCAGATATCAGTGGATTTTCAGGTCTCTACTAATAGCTCCACAGGTCACCGTGCACCAGTGATGCAAAGCTGTGCCAAGCCCCCAACCCTCAACTGCCCTCCACTTCTCCCCAGAGACCTCCTGCCCTACCGCCCACCCACTCTGTCCCGGCCGTACCTCCTTCCCCACTCCAGGAAAGGAGGCTACAATCCTGGGCCCTCATGTGCAGCGCCGCCCTCCCAGTCGCGGGCTTGGATACCTCTATGCAGCTGCAGCAGCTCTAATACACGCAGACCCGGCCGGGACAGACAACGGCGACAACTACTCTCCTCACAGCATCCGCCGCTGCCACATGCTAATTTAAATTACAACCACACCTCTTTCAAAATGGCACTTTGCTCACTGGGCAGGAGCACTTGGTCGCACTCCCTTCTGGGAGTTGTAGTTTCCTCCTCTGTCCAAGCAAGCTGGGGACTAAAGCTCCTAGAATACCCAGCGGGATATTGCCACTGCAGCGTGATTCAGAGAGATGAGCTGGAGCCTGAGGGCTGAGTGACATGTGGTGAGTGTGTGCTGCAGAGCCCCACGTGGATACAAAATTCGTATCTGCATCTAAGCTGCGAGCTGCAAAAATGGTCCGTGGATATCTGCATCCGTGGATGTGGGTATAAAGCGGATATCCTTGGATTTGCGGGGCTCTATTTTTAATTGAGCAAGGCCTCCATGCCTCTAGTTCAGGACGCCAGCAGCTATAATTTCCCAGCATTGTACAGCTGGGGTAATTGAGAGTTGCAAAAGGTCACTTCTGGTAGAGCTGGGAATCAAACTCAGGGGCCAATTTCTGTTCTGTGCCCAGAAGTGCCACTCAAAAGAAGCAGCCCAGGAACGGAGCGGACAGAAGTGGCTTAAAGCCGTCTTTGCACCTTCCTGGTTCTAGGCTGCTCAAGGGGTGATGAAGCCATCAGCCTACATTAGTCCAATTTACAGTAGCCTTACTCAGCTGCTCATTGGCTTCACCAGTCTGGAATGCAGACGTCTCTGACCACTCCCCATTCTGCCCCCGGCATGACCCTATTTAGAAGATTGCAGGTGAGATCAGTGTAGGGCCACATTAATCAGCTGTACTCTGCCCATGACTGGGAAAAATTCTCCCAATGGCAGCTCCACTCCTTTGGCCCCTGTACACCACTGGAGTGGGGTTAGGATTTGACCTCAGATTTCTAAGCTGGCAGCCAAACATTTTATCCACTCAGCCACCTTTTCTCCTTACAAGGCATTTATATATTGTCTGGCACAATGGAGCCCTGGCCTGGTTGAGGCCATGTGTTGCTACTGCAATATAAATGCTTAATGGTAAAATGTATGCACCTGACTGTGCTCTCTGTAACCACTTGCACACATGTCCTTCCTGAGCCAGGAATAGAGCATATGGGCTCAGGTTCCTGATTCCCAACATTCCTCCACTGTCGAATGCATAGTTGTACAAGTCACTGAACAAG